TTCCACATATCCCTAATTCCTGAGGTTGTTAAGTGATCCAGTCAAAAGAAGTCATGCAATAATTTTCCTGGGACACTTAAAAAATTAATAGAGAAGCTGGGAATAGAATACATATTAAATGTCTATGGAAGAGGATAAGGTAGTGTGGTGTTGTGTAGTGGCCATAGTCAGTCAATAAGCCTTTATTAAGCGCTTAATACTTGTCAAATCTTGTGATAAGCACTAGGGATACAAAGAAAGGCAGTAACATTCTCTGCCCTTAAGGAGCTTTCATTCTAATGGGTAAGACAGCAAATAACTAGATACAGAAAAGATATATCCAGAGTAGATGGGTGGCAATTCAGGAGAGGAAGGTATTAATCATTAGGAAGCTAGGTGGTGCAGTGGATAAAGAGCAGTGGGCCTGGAGTCAGGAAAACTTGTCTTTATGAGTTCAAATCTGGCCTGAGATACTTACTATCTGTGTCACCCTGGGCAAGACACTTAACCCCAATTGACTCCAAAATACAACAACAACAACAATGAACTGGGAGATGCCTCTTGCACATGTTAGTAGTTGAGCTGGATTTTAAAAGAAAGAAACTAAGAGGCAGAGGAGAACATTGTGGGTATGGAGCACAGCCAGTGTCATGCAAAGGGATGCAAAGGAAAGTAGAGATGGTGTCACATTCAAGGGATAGCAAGTAAGTGCTGCTAGATGATAGAGTGGTTGGAGGGTAGAAAATTTAAAGAAGTCGAGAAAGATAAAAAGAAGTCAGCTGTGAAGAGCTCTAAATGTCCAGCAGAAAACCTGTTATTTGATCGTGGAGCTCATTGGATAGGGGAGTGAGTTAGGTGGGATTTGAACTCAGGTCTTCCTGATTTGGGGCAGTTAGGTGGTACAGTGGATACAGCACTGGGTCTGGAGTCAGAAAGACAAGTTCAAGTCCAGCCTGAGACACTTACTATGTGACCCTGGGCAAGTCACTTAACCCTATTTACCTCAGTTTCTTCATCTGTAAAATGAGCTGGAGAAGGAAATGGCAAACTACTCCATTATCACCCATACACAGTTAAAACAAAGTTGAAGAGACAGGGCAACTTGAAAGCAAGGTAGATTGAGATAGAAATGATTAAATGTAAACATTCAATAAAATTTGGGTTAGGCCCAAACACAAAGGAACCCAAAGTAGAAGCTTCAGTGGATCACAAGTCCTGGGTGTGGAAACCCAAAATAAAAATGGTTTGGGTGGATCCAAGATGTAGGGGAATAAACCACCACCACCACCACCACCACCACCACCTTCTAGCCATCTCCCCCATTCCTAAATGTTACCTGAGTCAGGTGACATTTAGGGGAAGCCAGTCTTTAATTATATAAGGTTAGATTTAAACAGTTCACCACTTTTTCCCAAACAATAAATCTTTTTCCCCACATATGCTTCAATTTGCAATCTAAGTCCACCTCTATATGGAGGTGGATAGCACGTTTCATTAAGAGTCCTTTGGAATTGTGGTTGGTCGTTCTGTTTTTATCAGAGTTAGAAATGAGATTCTATGATTGTAAGATACAGATGAGAAGACATTGCCTGAAACTATAGTAACTCCAAACCAAACAGTCTAAATAAGTGGATGAAAAAAAAATACGAAATTAATGAAAGTGACATCAAGCCTGGTACTGATGGGGTATGGGCCCAAACTGCGATCCTCACCCCTTGCCCCAAAGGGAATCTGGCTCTCATTTGTCTACAGGCGCCAGCTTTTTATGTCCCTGTGAAAGCCCTAGCCCCACCTTTTGATCTTATGCAGATGCCTTTCAAACTCCCTTCATTATCTATTCCCATTGTCTATTCAATCTCTTAGACATTCCAATCAGAATTCTCATCTAGACCCTTTTCCCAGCCCCTTCTCTGGCCACCCAAAGTTACTTTAGTGTATATAAGATCCACCCTGGCCTCCATTCAAATGCTGAGAATCTCTCATGCCCAGAGGCTGAGCTTTTCTCATGCCCATTCCTCCTTACTGGAATCACCTGGCCTATATGATTTATCTCTAATAAACCTTTTCTCTGGCTGGAAAAAGATATGGGTTGAATTCATTCAGGCAGGGCCCACTTCACGATCTTGGGGAGGTCCTAGCACCCCTAAACCTCTAGACTTCATCATATGGTTCCCTGACTGGGAATCAAACTCGGGCCACGGCGGTAACCTAACCACTAGGTTACCTAACCACTAGACCACCAGGGGAAACCGTGGGAGCCTGGGTCCTGGCAACACTCCCACTTTCTCCATCTCTCTCGCCAAGCCCTGGGCAGAAATAGAGGCTGAAGGTAAGGTTACCCGCTTTATCTTGGCTATGTTCTTTGCTTTAACCAGTTACTCTGGCCCTATTCGCCCCTTGACCCATCAGGTCATGGGCAATGAAGGGAGAACTAAGGAATGTCTCCAAACATACCCCTTCCACTACCTATTTGAGAATTTGTTTAAACACTCCTCCCTTATACTCTCCTCTTGCCCTGCTCCCTTGTTGGGAAGGGATCCGATGGTGAAGTTGGGGAGCCAATTTTCTCTAGTTAAGCCTCCCATCTCCCTTTTCCCTCTGTGTGCCAGACCTCCCCATGTTCCCCTGGAAGTGTGGGAGACAGTTTGGGAGCTCCTGGGTGAGCTACTCTTGCCACCGCCACCCCAGCCGTTGTTCACCTCCAAGACCCTAAAATATTTTCCCATCTCTGTATTTGTAGCCCTACCCAGGAGGCTTCTTTGTCCACTGTCTCAGGAGTGCTTAATTTCTTGGAAACTCAAGGCTATAGGGTCACTTGGCCTATATGATTTATCTCTAATAAACCTTATCTCTGGAAACAGATTTGGGTTGAATTCATTCAGATAGGGCCCGTGTCATGATCTGGGGGGGGGGTCCCAGCACCCCTAAACCTCTAGACTACTACTACTACTACTACTACTACCACTATTACTACTACTATTTCTGAAAGAACTCCAAAATAACTGTCTCAAAACTCAGGAATCACTGAGCTCATCCCCTTTATCATTTCTTACAGCATATTTAGTTTTGTATTACATTCATGTAATTTATTCAGTCATTTCTCAAATGGTGGGTGTCCCCTGAATTTCCAATTCTTTGCCTCCACAAAAAGAGATACTATAAACATTTTTATGCATCTGAGTCTTTTCTCTTTCATCTGTTTGGGGTATAGACCTAGCGTCTGGGTCAAAGGGAAGGGACAATTTCATACTTTTTTGCAGAGACACTTTACTTAAGAGGAAGAAATAGCACCATAGCTAAAGACTTTAATTGACCCTGAAAGCAAACAGAAGCTCCACAATCATATGCACAAGGGGGCAAAGCCTGGCGGTATCTAGAGGAGCAAAATCTAACCAAGACCACATCCCCAGTAACATTGTTGTCCCCAGCAGCTGTTCCCTAGGGATATGCCTCTCCTTCTATGACCTACACTCTTACCACTGATAGTGTATGGGAATTTATGGAGGGGTATGCACAAGTTGATATGGGAAATGCTTTATTGGATCTTTCCTCATTGACATTACTTCATTAAACTCCTTTGCTTATGTGTCCAGAACTGATTAAAGGATAGCCTATATAACCAACCAAGCCTGCAAGAAGGCTAGAGATGAGCGTGGCATGCTACATTCTTCCAAATCCAAGTCTGGAATTGGGGTAGTGGTAGAACAGCAGCTCCAAAGGTGGATTACCAGTTTCCCCTTTTTGTATAGAGAAGTCTCATCCCTGATGTGTATTAAAAGTTCTCCTTCCTGTAGGAACAGGCAGTTCTCAGATGAAGAAATTAAAGCCATCTATAGTCATATGAAAAAATGCTCTAAATCACTATTGATTAGAGAAATGCAAATCAAAACAACTCTGAGCTGCCACATCACACCTATCAGATTGACCAACATGACAAAGCAGGAAAATGATAAATGTTGGAGATGTGAGAAAATTGGAACACTAATGCATTGTTGGTGGAGTTGTGAAATGATCCAACCATTTGGAGAGCAATTTGGAGCTATGCCCAACAGGCTATAAAAATGTGCATACCCAGCAATACCATTTCTAGGGCTATATCCCAAAGGGATCATACAAATGGGAAAAGGACCCACATGTACAAAAATATTCACAGCAGCTCTTTTTGTAGTGGCAAAGAATTGGAAATTGAGAGGATGCCCATCAATTGGGGAATGGCTGAGCAAGTTGTAGTATATGAATGTAATGGAATACTATTGTGTTATAAGAAATGATGAACAGACTGACTTCAGAAAAACCTGGAAAGACTTGTATAGTCTGATGCTGAGTGAAGTGAGCAGAACCAAGAGAACGTTGTACACAATAATAGCCACATTGTGCAATGACTAACATAGATAAACTTAACCCTTCCTGGCAATACAAGGATCTAAGACATCTCCAAAGGTCTAGTGATGGAAAATGCTATTCACATCCAAAGAAAGAACTATGGAATTTGAATACAGATAAAAGCATATTATTTGCTATTTTTTTTCTCTTCTGTTGAGTTTTGTTTCCTCTTTCTGGTGGTTCCTCCTATTGGTTCTAATTTTTACTTACAACATCACCAATGTGAAAATATGTTTAATAGGAATGTATATGTATAGCCTATATCAGATTGTGCGCTGCCTTGGGGAGGGTGGTGGGGAGGAAGGGAGAGAAAAATTTTAATCTCAAAAGCATGTGGAAATGATTGTTAATAATTGAAAATAAATTAATTTTTAAAAAAGTAAATTTCCAGGGAGGAGCTGAGTGATTTTTTTTTTTTTGAAGAGGGGTGGTAGGCCAAGTAAGTTTGGGAACCTTTACACAGCTTCTTTTTGAGTGTTGTGAGTCCCCCATTAGATTGTAAATTCCTTGAGGGTAGGAATTGTCTTTGTTTTTATTTGTATTTGTATCTCCAGGGCTTAGCAGTGTGGCACACATTAGGCACTTAATAAATGTTTATTATTATTTTTATTGTTTTATTGTATTATTATTATTATTATTGTTCATTATTGAGTGTTTATTGGTGGTAATTGATGAGAAAGAAGGCATTGTTTGCTACTTCCATTTCTAGATCAAAGCTCTGGTATCTTTTTGTGTAGTAACCAGTTGAAGGGAACTGGAATATTAAAAGGTAATGTTTGCAGATTTATTCAAAATTGGCTAAGAAGGGGGCTTTGTAGGGTCTAATCTACGATTTCAGTTGCTAGGTGTTTATTTGGATACAGATGGACACTTGATCAATGAGGTTATTATTGGGAGAAGAGAGGGAGGACTTCTTCCAACTTCATTGTCTGGACTTCTTCCCCTCTTCCTAACCAGCTTCTGTATCACCCTAAAAATATCTACACCTTGAGGCCCCAATTTCCTGATTGATGACTGCATGACTAACAGACGTAAAGTATAAGAAGTTGACATAAGTCTCTGTCATTTAGTCTGCCACGTTTTCATCTTTACGGTCTTTCCGTCCAAAGAAATCATTTTAGATGTACTTCATTAGGAATAGGAAAGCCATTGACAGCAGCCAGAATACTTTCAACCATATTTTTCTTAATGAGATGAAGACATTGATGAGTTCTGCCTCCCATATGAGGTGTTACAATTACCTTCTTCAACTTTAATAAAGGATGAGATCTGAAATACAAATGCATTAAAAATTATTTAGGTTCCATTTTTTAAAAAATTATTTTGTTGTAGTTACATTTTTATAGTTGTAGGAACATAAAAATTTATAAGATGTTAAAAATGAATACAAGAAAATTCCATTTGATGCATGGAGTAATAACAGAATCTTAGAACCAGACAAAACCTTAAAGATTGCCTAGTCTACAGATGAGGAAACTAGAGGCTCAGAATAAGGACACAATGCAAGAACCCAGGACCCTTGGCTCCTAAGTCAAGGCTCTGGTAGACCACCACCTAAAAGGCATAGAATGCTGAGTGAAAACTAGTTATAATTTAAAGAATTAAATGTAAGGGCATGCATTTAAATGCAATAAATGAACCATTCAAAACAGGTTGAGGTCCATGTAGCTTGTCAAAAGTTCATAAGAAAAAAATCTGAGCTTCCACTCCCAGTTCTAGTTGCCCACAAATTTAGTAAGCCAACACTGTGATGGGACTTTTCATAATTTTTAAAAGGTTAATACCATTATTGGCCGTATTCATAGAAATATAGTGCTAAGTATTGGGAAATAACAATCGCATCATACAGTACACTAGTCACATTTCACATGTTCAGTTCTTGCTGCCCATTTTAAGAGGGACTTCAATGAACCAAACAGTAACCAGAACATGGTGACCAGCAGGGCCAGGGGTCTGTAAACTATCACCTGAGGAAGAGTTAAAATGAATGCAGGTAATTAGCCTGGAGAAGAAATGACTAAATAGAGACACAAAATCTGAATTCAAATATTTATAGTATTAATAGATGAAGTAATGCATTTGTTTTATGTTGTTAATGATGGCAAAGCTAAGATCAATAGATGGAAGTGACAAATGTGTTAAATTTTAATTATAGACATATAGTTTGAAGAGTTGTGCTACACACATAAGGTATTAGCATAATTTTGTTACCTTTACCAAAAGATGAGGTGGCAGCTAGGTGGTGCAGTGGATAGAGCTCCAGCCTTGGAGTCAGAAGGACCTGAGTTCAAATCCGGCCTCAGACACTCAGACACACTAGCTGTGTGACCCTGAACAAGTTACTTACCCCCAATTGCCTCACCAAAAAGCAAAATAAAACAAAAACCAAAGCAAAAGATGAGATCTGAAATACCCTACATTGAAAAATGCTATACCACTTTTATTGGTTTCTTTTAGAATTATTATCAAATTGTAGTTATATTTTTAATACTGATACATAGATAAAAATGTAGAAGGTTGAAAAGAAATTCAAGAAAATCCCATTTGATTCATGGAAAAATCATCCAATCTTAGAACCAGACAAGACCTGAAAGATTTTCTTGTCTAGAAGTTCTTAAAGTGTGGTCTGAGAACCCTTTGAAAGTTCCTGAGACCTATTTGAGGTATCCACAAGGTCACAGCTATTTGACTATTAAAATGTTATTTGCCTGTTAAAATACTCCTTCATTTTCCAACTCCAAATCTGTGAGAAGCAACCAAAACAAAATATTGAATACAAAAACATATATAAAAATCCAGTTGTCTTCTATTGAGTCAGACATTATATGGAAAACAATTCCACTCTTCCAAAACAAATTTTTGTTTTGTAAAATGTTATTTTTCATAAAAGTATGTTATTTATGTTAACATGGCATGGGTTTATTGTTATTTTTAAACGAATTGATAAAGATTTTATCATTTTTATCAGTTTTAGTGTCAAATACAGTAAGGTGTTAATAGATATAACCATCAATTATTTTAAGTACCTAAAGAAGGACTGAGACCAAAAAATTTTCAGAAACATTCATCTAGTCAAATATTTTCACTTTGCAGATGAGGAAATTAGGTAGTCAGCCTGGAGAAGAGAAGGCTAGAGACACAAAATCTGATTTCAGAAAGTTGAACTATATACAGATGAAATGATAGATTTGTTTTGCTAAAAATGGCAGAGCTAGGACCATTGGGAAGAAGTGACAAGAGTTATTTCTTATATTGAGCCAAAAATCTGTTTAAATATTAGAACTTAATTAGAATTAAATATTAGAACTGTTAAACAATTGAATGGACTGACTCATAGGAGTATCAAACAAACTGTCACTGCAGATATTCAATTATAAGCCAGCCAAATAACTCTCAGTGATGCTATAGGAAGAATTCCTATATTGGGTGGGAGATTGGATAGTCAAAAGTCAATGAACATTTATTAATTACTATGTTCCAGGTACTGTGCTAAGTGCTGGGGATAAAAAGAGGATAAAAAGAAAGTCCATGCCCTAAAGAGCTAATCATCTGATGGGAGAAGAAAACACAAAAAAGAAAGATGGAAAATGTATTTGGGAGGGAGGGAAAAAGGTATTTGATCCGGGGCCATGAAGAAGTTGGAGAAGGCCCAAAGATGGCAGCCAAGTAGGAAACCAGAATTAGAAGACCTCTAAACCCTGTAAGTCTGTGTGTGAGATATCAGCCAAAGAAAACTTTTATCTTCAAACATGGTTTGGCAACTTTCCTTCTATTTTTATTTTTCAAAAAACTTTTGTGTTTTGTTTTTTGGTTTTTTTGGTGAGGCAATTGGGATTAAGTGACTTGCCCAGGGTCAGACAGCTAGTAAGTATCATGTGTCTGAGGCCAGATTTGAACTCAGGTCCTCCTGACTCCAAGGCCGGAGCTCTATTCAGCTGTATCTACTGCATCATCTCGCTGCCCCCAAAAAACTCTGCAGAAACAATTTTGTTTTAATTTTTGTTTTTTACCTTGGTAGGGGTTCAGGGTCAGTCACATCCAGTCCTGCAGCTTTAATAATCCCAGTTTGAAGAGCTTCAACTAGGGCATCTTGATCAACCAATTGACCTGAATTAATGGAACAGTATCTTTGTCACTATCATATAGTTAGACTATATATAATAGAGAAGAAATGTCTTTAAAACTGTATAGTTATCCATGTCTTACCAAATAACAAAAACTCATGAATATTAGATTACATAGGATCTACAAGTGATAGAAAATTTAAAATGGAGCCTAGAAAACAATAAGTATGGCCACATAACTTAGTGCAAAAGGATATTTTTTATGACTCAAGAGGAACTTCACATTTAAAACATAGTTGAGAGAAAGAATGTTCTAGCGGAAGGAAGATCAGCCTTAGAAATGAGACTTGGGTTTTAATTCAGTTTCTCTCACATTGCCTAGTGTGTGTCTATGAGTGAGTCACTTAATTTCTGGGTTTTCTGTTTCCTCATGTACAAAATCAGGTTGAGAGGAAAAAATGAGATGACGTGTATAAAAGTACTTTGCAAACCTTAAAGTGCTAGAAAAATGTCAGCTACTGATTATGATAATTCAATATCATAGATTTAGAACTGAAAGGGATAGATCTCAAAGGTCATGTAGTCCAATTACTTCATTTTGCAGATATTGAAACGGGTGGTCAAAGAGGTTGAGTGACTTACACAGGGTCATACAACCAGAAAGTGTCTGAGACGGGATTTTTTTTTTTTTGGTTAGGCAATGCGGGTTAAGCGACTTGCCCAGGGTCACCCAGGTAGTAAATGTTATATGTCTGAGGCCGAATTTGAACTCAGATCCTCCTGAATCCGGGCTGGTGCTCCATCCACTGCACCATCTAGCTGCCCCTGAGACAGGATTTAACCCCAGGTCTTGTTGACTCCAAATCCTCTAGATCATGATCCTCTCATTTCATTTTAGGTTCAAAATGATATGCCCATGTCCCATCTATGCTTAGAACCTTCACAGACTTGCAGAAAGATTCATGATGCTCTTTCTGAATGTCAATGAATATTCAGTAAATGCCTGACTCCAAAGCTTAGAGTAAGAAAGCTTAGTGAGATGCTCTGATAAGGATACTTTTCTTTTGAAGACCAATTGTTTAAAATATTGTTCTTCTGTTTGTTGTAATAATAGTCTCCTAATAATAGTTTCCAGGATTGAGATTATTTACATGTCTAGTGTTTAGTGCTATTGCTACGGAAGCAACCTTTATACTTTAATGCATCTTCCATGAGGAATAGGTTTCTGCTTACCTAAGATGGTCACCTAGGCACTAGGCATAAAGACTGATATCATGCAGAATGACAATGCTATATATATAATATATATTTATATTTTATTTATACAATTATGAAGATTATATAGTCATATACTTTTCTTAATGTCTTCATAATATGAAATTCTTAATTTCCAAAGAAATTTTACCTTTATTAATACTTGTGAGTTACAATTCCAGATATTATCTTTACTATATATATATATATAAAGGAATGAAAGCACAAAGATTACTCAGGGTCATGGTTAATAGCAGAGCCAATCCTAGAATTCTGTCTTCTAAACTCCACTATCTGTTTTCTGATTATCAATAAATTAATATTGACACATGCAATTGCCATTCATTTCAATTATGTCATTTCAATGTCAACAAAACTTTGTCTCTCTATAGTAAAAACTCTGTTAGAGTTCTCAGTTTTATAAGTTCAATAATCAACCCATGACTTACTTTTGTCTACTATGTGTAGATATTTAAATTAGGTATTATAAGAATGTTAAGGAAGAAAAACAAAGATTTTGCTGAGAAAATAATGACTAAACACTGAGAAACATATACTTAGTTGAACTTAGAAGATACCCAACATGGTACAGTTCTTTCCCACAAAAGGTATAAAAAAAATCTGAATTGAAAAAATCTTTTTCTTGACTTATTAATAACTTGTGTTAAAATACATTCACAAAAAGATCAAGAATTCATATAAGAAGGTACATTTTAACTCCCTTGTTTACCGATCTAAGTTATACTTTGAACCAAGAGACTGCAAGAGATTTATTGAGATTTATTGCTGCATCTTTTCAGTGAAGGAAGAAATATTGTTTTGGTAGTCATATCTTTTAGTATCTATTACCTCGGCCAATGTTTATAAGAGTAGCAGTGGGTTTCATTAGTCTGAGTTCCCTCTTTCCAATCAACTTATGAGTCTGGAGTGTCAGATTGACGACCAGCATTACAAAGTCTGATTGCTGCAGTAGCTCATCCAACTTTGCACAATAATGGGCTCCAACTGCCTGTTCCTCTTCCACCTTCCTGTCAGAATTAACCAAGAAAAAATACAGTGAGTTTCCTAATCAGAAATAGCCCAAGATGTCCAAAGAAACCTCAAGTCACCAAGAACAAAATCCAGGAAAAAGTCACTGAAAAGGAACTTAAAACAAGGTAAAATAATTCAGGAACATTATTTAGGCTAAGGGCTGCCAATTAAGTTCAGATTAGATAAAAGAAGCATGGAGACAGTGTGGCATACTGGAAAAAGAACTGGAGTTAGAGTCAGAAAAACTGTGTTCAAATCCTAGATCCAGTTGGTGCATTGTAAATCAAAGGGACTTTAAAATAAAGATAGAAGAGAGCGAAAACGGCCTATATTCATCAAGACAGATAACATAGAGTAGCAATTTTTCAAGTGTTATCTGTAGAAACTGAGGGATTCCCAATACCCTTTTGGGGGTGGGAGGGAAAGAGTTCTGCAAGGTCAAAACTAGTTTTATAGGACATGATTTGCTGTTAAAATACTCCTCCGTTTTACAACCACTTATCTGGGAGGAACAGGATAGGTAAAGAGGGATAGAAGTAATACTGTATACTAAGAAGATATACCTTTTTTTTTTTTTGACTAGGCAATGGGGTTAAGTGACTTGTCCAGGGTCACACAGTTAGTAAGTGTTATATGTCTGAGGAAGGTAGACATTTGAGGGAAAATTCAGGAATTGGAATAGGGAAGGATGGAGAGAACATCTGACTGAAGGTCTATGGAGGGAGAAATAGGAGGAATTTTATCATTATACTGTGATGTGGCAGTAAATAGAATCATGGGTTTCATTTAGAGAGGCACAGCTTCAGTTAAGTTTAGAAATTCATTTTTTGGAAGTTTTACCTGCGGTTCCTATTGTGGTACAGAATCTTCATTTCAAATGCTTTGGCTCGCTGAGCAACCTTATAGCCAATCTTGCCCATACCTATGATTCCCAGAGTAGATCCAGTAACTTCTTGTCCCATCCAGGTAAAAGAAAAGTCCTTAGTGTCTGGTGAAGTAGCTACCTCATTCCCTGAAAGTCAAAGATGCAAAAGTAAGCCAAGAAACTGTCTCCACAAACAATTCTATTATGCTTTTAAGACAAAGAAATGAAAGAACAAGTTTTGATTCGCATCTAGCTGCACAATCTCTGATAAAATTAGTTCTGAAAACTCATGCTCTGGAATACACGACTCATCCATTTCTACATGAAACAAAACAAAATTTTCAACAAAAAATAAACCATCACACATTGGTAACAGGTAGTAGCTTTCCTCATAGTATAAACCAGAATATCCTGGCAAAAAAAGTTATATTATAACATTTGTTCTAAACTAGCAATCTTCTGTCACATAAAGGCTGGGCTCTTAACCTTGGGTCTGGAAACTTGTTTTAAAATTTTTAATAACTATTTCAGTAGAATTGGTTTCTTTTGTGATCCTATGTATTTTAATTTGTTCATTTAAAAACATTATTCTGAGAAGGGTTACATAAACTTCATAAGACATTATCTAGGAATCAGGACAATATGAAAAGAATTTTCATTTTTTAAATATCAGTTTAAATACTTTTTCATTATTTTACAAATAAAGTCTCTCTGGTTATCAATTGCCATGAAATTAAGTGGCATAAAAGGTCATTTTACCTTCTAATATTCTCCGGGCTGATGCCAGAAGTAGGGCCATTCCCAAGTCTGCAGTGCTGTTAGTAACAGCACGTGAAGTGTTGGCCAATTTCACACCAAAGCTGGCAATCAAGTTCAGGTCCAGATGATCCAGGCCTGCTCCTGGGCTTACAATAATCTTCAAGGTAGGCAAGCTCTGCAGGAGCTCCTGGTCAATATGTGGTTTCCCTCCCCATATATATATTGCTTGTATCTTTTGACTGAAATGTATTTTGTTTTCAAGAAATTCTCGCATGGTGATAAGATTAAAATGTTTCTTAAGATCTTTTATGTATTCTTCGTTCATACCAGATGGTCCTTCAAAACTATTTATCAAAACACAGGGCAGCTTTTGATCTTGCATGACCTGTGGAGAAAAATAAAGGGTCTCTCTAGTAAAGGGAAAAAAATCTTCAGGAGTATAGAGTGTTTTTTAGTTAATCATTGACTTCCTGAATTACAAGAATGGAATAGAATTGTTTGGAGGTTTTAGCAAAATTTCTAGAATAGCTCAGAGGTCCCTAGGAGCTCATACTACCCTAAGTGTACATGTGTTCTTTACTTTCTCCCACCTTGACCTTTCTCTGTTCTAAAACTAGCCATGCCATTAAAATGAAGAATATTTTCATTGTCTCTTAAATTTACTAAATAAAATCTTGTGTTAAAAGTCACCAAATAGAACATTTTATATCTTAAATAAGAAATTCTTTTTTTTAAGTGCAGCTTAATGAAAAAATCATCTTTATTTTTTTCCTCTGACTTCAGAGTTAGTGATCTCTCCAGTGTCCTACACTGCTTTCATGGTACTAACACAGAAAACTGTGTCTGTTAGTGTAGATAACACAAGTTATGGATTGAGCATTCAATTTTTGAAATTAAATTTTGAAAGCCAAGCAAGAGCTTAACAAATTGAAAGCAAGAAAAGCTCCAATCATGTTGATAAATAAAATGAAGAGCTGCTTAAAATTTAAAAACACTAATTAAATAAACACTAGTATGTTTTAAAAAGAAAATGAAATTATTTTAATCAAAAGTGAATAAAGAGAATTCATGACAAATGAAGATGAAATAAAATATCAAAAACTATTTTGTCTAATTCTATGGCAAAAAAAAGATAACAGAGAAAATGGATGAATACAAAAACAAAATATGCAAGTTAACAGAACAAGACATAGATTTAGATTATTTACAAAACTCAATATCAGAAAAAATTAAATGTGTCATCAATTAAGTTACAGAGACAATCTAGAGGCAGAATCGGATGGATTTCATAGTGAATTGTATCAAACATTCAAGGAACAATTCCACTATTATGCCAATTATTTGCAGAAATAAGGGTCTGGGGAAAAGGATCCCTTCTAGACTCTATGATACAAATATGGTATTGACAACTAAACTCGGTAGAGACAAAGCACGCAAAAAAACCCCTATAAACCAAAAAACCTAATGAACATCAAGATTAAATGAAATATTGGCAAGCAGCCTACAATGGTTTCTCAAAAGATAAGTCATCAAAGATTATGAACATAAAGTTTTCAAAGGATGAATTGCAAACAACCATAAGAAAGAATTCTTCAGATTGCCAGTAATAAGAGGAATACAAACCAAAACAACCTGAAGGAAGTTATTAACAAGAAGAAAGTCCCCATATACACCAAAATATTTATAGCAACACTTTCTGTGATAGAAAAAAAATAGAAACAAAGTAGATGGCCATTGATTGGGGAATGGCTAACAAAATTGTGGTACATGTATATAATGGAATGTTACTGTGCTGTAAGAAATAATGTATGTGATGAATACAAAGAAGCATGGAAAGATCTACATGAACTGATGCAGAATGAAGTAAGCAGAGCTAAGAAAATGGCATACACAATATCTACAACAATGTAAATGGAAAGAACAACCACATAACAAAAAGTAAAAAAAAAAAAGAATTACAAAATAATAAAGATCAAGGATGACTTGAATGAAGAGATATGAAGACATCTTCCAACCCATGTCTTAGTTGAAGTAGAAGGTCCATAGATGTTACACATCTATGTTACACACGTCTTCAGATTTTTTCAGTGTGTTTATCAGTTGTGTTGATTTTTTTTTTACTCTTTAAAGATATACTACTTGTTCTATGGAATATCTCTTTGGGAGGAGAAAGGAAAGGATACTGGGGATAACTATGATGTAAGGAACAGAACACATTAATAAAATGTTATTTTAAAAAACAACTAAATTAACCTAATAAAATGACTATAAGCTATGACTTGCTTTGGATTTATGCCAAGTACGCATTCTTGAGTTGGTTCAATATAATAAAAACTGTAAGCATATTATACAATATTATTAACAAAAACACATTATTGTACCAACAGAAGCTGAAAAATCCAACACCAATTTCAAGTAAAAATACTTTAAAAAACATAGGAATAAATGGATCTGTCCTCAACATGATGAGTAGTATTTATCTAAAACCCAGAGGCAACATTATATGTAATGCAGAAAGGTAGAATCCTTTCAAATAAAATCAGGTGTAACACAAAGATATTCATTATCAGTATTATTACTTAACACAGGGCTAGAAATCCTAGCCATGAAAATGTCAAGAAAAATGAATCAAAGAAATACACACAAGCAAAGAAGAAAGAGAACTATTGCTTTTTGTAGAAGATACTATGAAGCCCCAAAGAGCTGATTTAAAATTAATTGAAGCAATGGCTTCAGCAAAGTTGGAAGATATAAAATGAATAATAACAATAATAATAGTACCTAACATGTATACAGGTCTTACTATGTGCCAGGCATTGCGTTAAGTGCATTGTGATGATCTTATTTGGTCCAAATAATAATCCTGGGAGGTAGATACTATTATTATCTTCATTTTACATATGAGGAGACTGCAGTGAACAAAGGTCAAGTGACATTCTCAAGGTCACATAGCTAATAAATTTCTGAGGACAGAAATTCAAATCAGGTCTTTCTTACTCTTGACTCAGTACTCTATCCCCTGTACCACTGAGCTGCCATGGAAATCAACATCATTCCCTATATTACCTATAAATCTCAATATAAGAGAACTTCCATGTGAAAATAATTATGACATATAAAATACTTGTGACTTTAGCTACTAAAATACACCTAAAAACTATATGAACACAAAACATGCTTTAAGGGGAAAAAACTAGACCTAAATACTTGAAGAAATAACTAACAGTTCACAGATAAGGTGAGTCAATATAATAAAAATGTTACCTAAATTCACTTGTTTATTCAGTGCCATACTAATCAAATATTTTTAAAGATTACTTTATAGAACTAGAAAAATGATGAAATTCATCTAGAGCAGCAATCAGCAAACTACCTGCCAGACAGATCTGTCCAACTGCATATTTTTGTATGGCCAGTGAGCTAAGAATGGTTTTTAAATTTTTTAATTTCAAATTTTAAAATTAAGTTTAAAAATTTCAGTGTTTTTTATCTCAATTTTTTTTTATCATGGCATGGTTATATTAAAAATGGCTATATACCAAAACCTTAAAAATTACTTATGGAGCAAGAAAGGGTGAGGAAGAACTTCAAGGAAACTTGCTATTTGAAAAAGTTATGTCACATGTAAATTTATAATTTTATTTTGTATAACAATATTCTCTGTACCTTAAATATCTCATCAGAGATATTAAAATGCAAAAACCATTCTTAGCTCTACAAAAATAGGTAAAGTGGATTTTGACCTTGGGCTATGGTTGGCTGACCCATGAGCTAAAGGGACAAAAGGTTAAGAATCTCAAGGGAAATTAAGAAAAGGATGGGAAGTAATAGAGCCGAGCAGTACTAATTTCAAACTACTAAAAAGCATTAATCAGTAAAAGGATTTGAGAATGGCTAGAAAATAAAGAGGCTGAATATAAAATGTAATACAAAACCTACATAAAGAGTTTGAAAATAAAGAGTAGAACAGACTAGGTACACACCTTAAAGCAAAGCAATACAATAGCATAATATTCTACAAAGCCAAGTTACTTGATAAATACTTATTTAACAGCAAGTGCTGGAAGTAATGGAAAGCAGTTTGGGAGATACTGAGTATGGCCCATCAGCAGATCTCACTTCCAAGATAAATAAGGAACTGATTCAAACTTATAAGAATAAAAGCCATTCACCTATTGATAAATGGTTAAAAATATGAATAAGCAGTTCTCAAGAGAAGAAATCCAGTCAATAGCTCTACAAAAAAAAAATGCTCCAAATTATTACAAATCAGAGATATGCAAATTAAAGCAACTTCAAGGTTCAACCTCACACCAATCAGACTGAAAAGATTACAAAAAAAAAAAAAGAGAATGATAATTGTTAGAAGGACTTCAGGAAAATAGACATATTCATTCACTCTTGATAGAACTGTGAATTAACTGGTCCAGCCACTTTGGAAAACAATTTGTAACTATGCTCAAAAAATCACTAAACTGTAATAAACCCTTTAACATAGCAATAACACAAATAGGCCCATACTCCAAAGGAATCAAAGAAAGAGGAAAAGGATCCATATACACAAAAATGTCTATAGCAGCTCTTTTTGTCCCCAATGGATAAATGATCAAAAGATAGAAACAGGAAGTTCTCAAAGAAGAAAAGTAAGCTATAAATAACTATATGAAAAAAATGTTCCAAATTACTAATAATAAGGTTAATCCATGATTAAGTTTGTATCTGAAGAGATAAAAGAGGGAAAGAATCCATGTATCAAAAACAAAATTCATAGCAGTCATTTTTATTGTAATAAGGAACTAGAAATCAAGGAATGCCCACCAATTGAAGAATAGCTTAATAAATTATGGCTTAAGAATTTAGTGTAATATTATTGACCATAAGAAATAATGAAAGAGATGGTTTTAGAATAACCTGGGAAGACTTGAATACACTTACTAGCTGTGTGACCCTGGGCAAGTCACTTAACCCCAACTGCCTAAGCAAAAAAAAAAAAAAGACTTGAATGAACTGATTCAGAATGAAGTGAATGGAACAATGAGAACAATTTATACAATAACAACAATATTATAAAGAAAAACAACTTTGAAAGACTTAAGAACTCTGACCAATAAAACAATCAAGAATAAATTCAAAGGGCTGATGATGAAGCATGCTACCCTCCTCCTGAAAGAGAGGTGATAGCCTCTAGACACCAAATAAGGTATAACTAGACACTTTTAGCTGAAGTCAACAATAATTTGTTTTGTTTCACCATACATTTTTGTTACAAGAGTCACTGAGTTCTTTTCCAGTTGAGGGAAAGATTGAAGGGTAAAAATTCAAATAAGTTAACCAATAAAAGAAAAAGAATTAAAGCGGGTCATTGAAGTATTTTTTTTTAAGACACAGAAGAGAACAGAAATAAGGAAGGGCAGTGGAGTCAGAGGCAATCAGGACAGCTTTGAAAATATGAGATGAAGAGCATATTTAAAAAGAAAAGGAAGCTATAGAGAATATCAGTGCACAGTTCCATGTATAACGATCTCTTTCTGTTTTACTATGTATGTGTGTGTGTGTGGGTGTATGAAAATGCCCAAATTTGGTGTTTGTCAAGTTCACAAAAATAATTTTTTTTAATTTTTAATTTTTTTATTTTTACCATGTGTTTTTAAAACTTTGGGTTACAAATTTTCTCCCTTCCTCCCTCCCCACCCACTCTCATTGAAAAGGCAATCATCTTGGTACAGGTTATAGATGTGTGGTCATGCAAAACACTTCCATAGTAGTCCTGTTGTGAAAAACTAAGTATATTTCCCTTCATCCTATCCTACCCCCCATTTATTCTATTCTCTCTTTTGACCCTGTCCCTCCTCAGAAGTGTTTGCTTTTGATTATCCCCTCCCACAATCTGCCCTCCCCTCTATCAACCCCCTGCTCTCTTATCCCCTTCCCCCCTTATTTTCCTGTAAGGTAAGATAGATTTCCATGCCCCATTGTGTGTGTTATTCCCTCCTTAAGCCAAATCCTATGAGAATAAGATTCACTTATTCCTTCTCACCTTCCCCCATTTCCCCTCCACTGTAAAAGCCTTTTTTTGTCTGTTTCATGTGAAATATTTTACCTCATTCTACTTCTCCCTTTTTCCTTCTCCTGGTATAATCCTCTCTCACCCCTTAATTTTATTTTCCAGATATCACCCCTTCATCTTCAACTCACCCTGTGTCCTCTATCTATCTATCTATACATAGATATAATTTTTTTCCCTCACTACCCTAATACTGACAAAGGACTAATGAGTTACATATATCATCTTTCCCTGCAGGAATGTAAACAGTTCAACCTTAATAAGTCTCTTATGATTTTTCTTTCCTGTTAACTCTTCCTTGTTTCATTTGAGTCTTGCATTTGAAGGTCAAATTTTCTGTTCGGCTTTGGTCTTTTCCACAGGAATGCTTGAAAGTTCCCTATTTCGGGGCAGTTAGGTGGCACAGTAGATAGAGCACTGGTCCTGGATTCAGGAGGACCTGACTTCAAATCTGGCCTAAGACACATAATACTTACTAGCTGTGTGACCCTGGGCAAGTCACTTAACCCCCATTGCCCAACCCAAAAAAAACAAGAAAACAAAGAAAAAAAAAAAGAAAAGAAAGTCCTCTATTTCACTGAATGACCATTTTTTACCCTGAAGGATTATACTCAGTTTTGCTGGGTAGGTGATTCTAGGTTTTAGTCCTAACTCCTTTGCTCTCCAGAATATCATATTCCATGCCCTCTTGACCCTTAATGTAGAAGCTGCTAAATCTTGTGTTATCCCGATTGTGTTTCCACAATACTTGATATTGTTTCCTTCTGGCTGCTTGCAATATCTTCTCCTTGACCTGGGAATTCTGGAATTTGGCTACAACATTCCTAGGAGTTTTCCTTTGGGGATCTCTATCAGAAGGTGATTGGTGGATTCTTTCCATTTCTATTTTACCCTCTGGCTCTAGAATATCAGAGGAGTTTCCTTGATAATTTCTTGAAAGATGATGTCTAGGCTCTTTTTTTGATGATGACTTTCAAATCGTCCAATAATTTTTAAATTCTCTCTCCTGGATCTATTTTCCAGGTCAGTTGTTTTTCCAATGAGATATTTCACATTTTCTTCTATTTTTTCATTCTTTTGGATTAGTTTTACAGTGCCTCGATTTCTTAAATTGTCACTAGCTTCTAATTTCTCCATTCTAATTTTTAAGGAAGTATTTTCTTCAGTAAGCTTTTGGACTTCCTTTTCCATTTGGCCAATTTAGGGTTTCTCCTCATTGGCTTTTTGGACCTCTTTTGCCATTTGGGTTAGGCTATTTTTTAAGGTGTTATTTTCTTCAGTATTTTTTTGGGTCTCCTTTAGCATCACTCTCAGTTTTTCCTCTGCTTCTCTTACTTGCTTCTCAAAATCCTTTCTGAGCTCCTCCATGGCCTGGGACCGATTCATATTTTTCTTGGAGGCTTTGGATGTAGGAGCTTCGTTGTCTTCTTCTGGTTGTATGTTTTGATCTTCTTTGTCATCAAAGTAAGATAATATAGTCTGACTCTTTTTTCACTGCTTGCTCTTGATCTCAGCCAATTACTTGAGTTATAAACCCTTTGTTAAGGTAGGAGTCTGTTTCCAGTGTGGAGAATGTACTGTCTCAAGCTTCAGGGGTTTTGTGCAACTGTTTTCAGAGATGCTTCTAGGGACTTGTAAATTTTCAGTTCTTCCAAGGTGCTATGATCAAGGGCCAGGTGTTTACTCCTTTCCTGGCCTGCGCTCTGGTCTATGAGCACTCTTTTCTGTCTTGGAACTGTGAGGAGGGTTTCTCTCCACAGCCACTATAAGCTCTACCACACCAGAGCTCCTCCTTGCCCCAGGACTGTGACCCAGATCCAAGCAAGGCAAAGCAAGAGAATCCTGCACCAGCAGAGTGATACCTGCAATCTCCCTCTGATTGGCCAATGGATTCCCCCTCAGCCTGTGGGCCAGAAGCTCAGGAAGCAGGCACCGCCCCAGGGAATGGGGCTGGGACCCCCCCCCCCCCCCCCCCCCCCTCCCCACTGTAGAAACACTTTTCCCACTGACCTTCTAAGTGTATGTGGGTTGAGAAGTCTGGAAACCGCCACAGCTGCCCATGATTCGGTTTGCTGTGGCCTGTTCCTGCGCACGCATGCGGCTCCTCTCCTTGCCCGGCACAATATAAACTTTCTGATCAACCATCCAAGCTGTCTTTGGCTGGAAATTTGTTTCACCCTGTCTTTTTGTGGGTTCTGCTGCTTTAGAATTTGTTTAGAGCCATTTTTTATAGATATTTGGAGGGGTTTGGGGGAGAGCTCAAGCAAGTCACTGCTTTTACTCTGCCATCTTGGCTCCCAAAAACAATTTTTTAAAAAAAATTTTAGCAACATTAATAAAAACAAAACAAAACAAAACCAGATTTCAATAGTTTCCATTTCTAGTATTTTTTAATTGTTAATACCTTCTGGTCATTTATTTGTTGGAGAATAACTGTTGGTCTTACATGTCTTGGATACTTAGGCTTTACCAAAGATGTTTGATGCAAAGATTTCATTTTACAAATAGCATTGTCTCCCTTATTCTAGCTGCACAGATTTGGTTCATGTAAAAGCTTTTCCATTTTAGTGTAAGAAAAACTCTTTGTTATGTGATGATCAACTGTGAATAGCTTAGCTCTTTTCAGCAATGATCTAGGACAATTCCAAAGGACTCATGATGAAAAAAGCTATCCACCTCCAGAGAAAGAAAGGAGTCTGAATGTATATTATTTTTCACTTTCTTTTTTTCCTGTTTTTTTCTGTCTGTGCTTTCTTTTGCAACATAACTAATACAGAAAAATGTTGTGCATGACTGCCTATGTATCACATATATCAAATTGCTTACTGTCTCAAAGAGGGAAAAGGGGAGGAGAGGGAGAAAACTGAACTCAAAATTTTTAAAAATGAATGGTAAAAATTATTTTTACATGTAACTGAGAAAAAAACAAAATGTTATTCAGAAAATTGTTTATATTGTCTTTTATGCTTACCTCTGTCCCATGTTTGCTTAAGAAGTCTCTTCCTAAGCAAAGGTCTAGTACGTACTTTACTCCAAATTCTCCTTTTATCCTATAGGCTTTCATACTTTACAATCTGCCTTCTAGGACAGAAAGTGTCTCTGCTAGGTAAACAATGCTCTTGTTCAGTCTTTTCAGTCATGTTTTACTCTTCCTGACCCCATTTGAGGTTTTCATGGCAAAGATACTGACCGGAGTGGTTTGCCATTTCCTTCTACACAACAATGTTCTCTTAACTGCTGCCAAATAATAGGCTTGAGATAAATAACATACAAAAGTAAATACTTTCACTTTTTAAAGGTAAAAAAGTAAGAACAGTGAGACTATACTATATTGTTAAAACCTATACTTCAAAATTAGAAAAAAAAAGAATTTACACTTTTTTTTGGCTTAATCAAATGATAATTTAGGTATTTAAACATATGATACTGATGATTGTAACTTGTACTTTGGACTGCTTTAGAGATTAACCTTTTTTTTCTTATTTGTAAAATTATTTAAGAATTTAACAAAAGAAAAGAAAATTACCTTTTGTTGAAATTGTCTTCAAGAACTTCAGAGTTCTTAAAGATGCTGTTTACTTGATGACACTGCAAAGTTTCTATCCAAAGAGGAAAATAAACTGAGGGAGAAAAACAAGAGAAGAGGTTTATATTAAAGAAGTTTTCTAGTAATGACTGTGAGAGGGAAGGATTTGAAACTATAGGCTATCACGTAGCAAAAAGATCATTATCAAACACTACTACTTTATTTCAGTGAATGTGTTAGCTTCACCACAACTTCACAGAGCCATCGTTGAACCAGGGAGAAGCTTTATTACCGGCCTGGGAAGGCCCGACATCCGACATGAGAGAGCGTGCATGTGAGAGCATCTGTGTTGACAGATAGACACCTTTTTATTCCCTCTTCTCGATTCAAATTTCCTTCCATTGTTTCCCCATTGGCTGGGTACTATAGAGGTTACAGCCTATAGAAAGCGCCTAATTTCCCATATGTGTCTCTGCCCTGTTTACACCTCCCACTCACCACAATTTGGGAATCTCTGCCCTTATTTGGGTATACCCACACCCCTTCTGCTTGGGATGTGAGTATGTTAATCTATACCTAATCTCAGAACCAGTATTCCCTGGTTAGTCTATTCACCCACCACTTCTACTTTATGACTTCCTTTGTTCAACTTCCACCTAGCCCCTAGATTACATTTTTGTAGCAATGAAAACTAGCTATTTCTCACATTCCCTCCCATTTTAAACTGACTCCAATGTTGTCACATAGGCTTCCACCCCCTGACTGAGTGATATGCAGAAGCAACATCGCCAACCACAATTTTCCACAAATGAAACATATTTTTTTTATTACTAACTACTAAGTCAGAGAAATAAATCAGTCTTGAATCATATGCTTAAAATAAAAAAGCCCCAAACCTTTACTTTGTTGCTTTTTGAAGAAAAATGAACTTCTATGATTCTAAGATACAGATGAGAAGACACTGCTTGAAATTATAGTAATTCTAACCCAAATAGTCTAAACAAGCTGATAAAAAAAATGAAATTAATGAAAGTGACATCAATCTTGATACTATTTCTGAGAGAATTCCAAAACTCACATATCACTGATCCCCTTCATCATTTCTTACATCACATTTAGTATTCCATAACATCCATATAACATAACTTATTCAGCCATTCCCTGATTGGTGGGCATCCCCTCAGTTTCCAATTCCTTTCCTCCACAAAATAGAACTACTTTAAATATTTTTACACATCTGGGTCTTTTCTTCTTTCTTCGATATCTTAGGAATATAGATCTAGTAGCTGGGTCCAAGGGAAGGAACAAATTCGTATGTTTTTGCAGAGCCTACTCTTGTCAAGAAGAGACAGGACCATAGCCAATGATTTTAAGTGACACTGAAAGGAAACAGAAGTTCCACAATCACAGGTCCAAGAGGACAAAGCTTGACAGCATGTAGAGGAGCAATGTCTCAAAAAAACCACATCCCCAGTAACATTGTTGCTCTGACCAGGTGTCCTCTAGGGAGATGCCTCTCCTCATATGGCCTACATTCTTCCCACAGATAGTGTGTGTGCATTTAATGGGGGAGGAGGCCCCAAGTTTATCAGGAAAATGTTTTATTGCATCTTTGCTCACTGATGTTACTTTATTAAATTCCTTTGCTTATGTGCCCCACAATGGTTAAAGGATATTCTGCATCACGAACCAAGGCTGCAGGGGTTCTAGACATGGGGTGGGGTGCTACATTCTTCCAAATTCAAGTCTGGAATGAAGTCTTGTTGCAAAGTGGGCATAGTCAGACAATTAACGAGCCTTTATTAATCATTTGATATAGGTCAAACCCTGTGGGAAGCACTGAGGATCCAAAGAAAGGCAGTAACAGTGTCTACCTTTAAGGAACTTCCATTCTAACGAGGGAACTAGGTACGTAAAAGATATATCTAGAAATATAGGGGTGGTAATTTAAGAGAGGAAGCCATTAGTGAACTAGCTGGTGAAGTAGAGTGCTGGTCCTTGTGTAAGAAAGGCTTATTCTTGCGAGTTAAAATCCTGTTTGAGACACTTACCAGCTGTGTGACCCTGGGCAAGTAATTTACCCGTGTTTGCCTCAGTTTCCTCATCAATCTCAGAGAAAAGGGACTGAGGGATGGAGGCATCTGAGAAAGACCTTCTGAAGAACGTAGAATTTGAGCTGAAGCTTGAAGGAGGCCTGTTATTTTGACATAGAGGTGAGAGCATTCTAAGCATGGAAGAAAGTGAAAATGCATGGAATTGGGAGATAGAGTGTCACTGGGAGAAACAGTAAGTAGGCCAATGTAATTGGATCATAGAATAAGGTGAGGGGAGTGAAGTATAAGAGGACTAGAAAGGTAGGAAGGGGCCAGACTGCAAAGGGCTATAAATGCCAGTGGAATTCTATTTGGTCTTGGAAGCAACAGGAAGCCACCAAAGTTTTTTGAGCAGGTGGGATGATATGATCAGACCTGGCTTTAGAAAATCATTTTGGCCGCTAATAAATGTAAACAGTTTGTCATTTAAAACCCTTGACCCTTTCTCACCTTTCACTCTTCTTACACATTATTTTCTTTTTGATATGCTTTGATCTAGCCATACTGGTCCTCCATACCTGGAATACAAACCTTCCTCTCCTCCACATCCTGGAACTCCTAGCTTCTTTCAAGACTCAGCTGAAATGCCAATTTCCAAGTTAAGGTTCTTAATTCAGGATCCATGAACTTGTTTTTTAGATAGTTTGATAACTGTACTTCATTATAATTGGCTTCCTTTGTATTCCCATGTATTTTAGTGCATTTAAAAACATTATTCTGAAAACAGATTCATTGGTTTCACCAGACTGCCAAAGGGATCTCTGACACAAAAAAGGTTAAGAACCACTGCTTTACATGAAGCCTTTCCTGAAAATAATTACTAGAATTTACATGGCACTTTAGGTTTTTCAAAAGTACTTTTTATGTGTTATCTTACTCGATCTTCATAATTCTTTATATATGTTATCTTGTTTGATCTTCAAAATAACTCTGAGGTAGATATTATTACTCTCTCCATTATTACAGAAAAGGAAACTGAGGCTGAGAGTTCTTTGATTTGTCCAATGTCATACTGATATGAAGAATCTGAAAGCAGGTCGCCCTGATTTGGGGCATTTAGGTGGCACAGTGGATAGAGCACTGGGCCAAGAATCAGGAAGGCTCATCCTTCTGAATTCAAATCCAGCCTGAGACACTTACAAGCTATGTGACACTGGGCAAGTCACTTAAAGAGGTTTGCCTCAATTTCCTCATCTGTAAAATGAGCTGGAGAAGGAAGTAACAAACCACTAGTATCTCTGTCAAGAAAACCCCAACTGGAGTCCTGAAGGATCTGACACAACTGAAAAATGACTGAAAGAACAACTCCCTGATTTAAGTTCTGAGATTTATGTACTATAATATCTCTGGCTGCTGGCGTCCTCCTTCCCTGAACCTTCTATTAATTGTATGTATAGGTGTGTATGTGTATATACTCATGTGTGTATATATATACATGCATATATTATATGTATACATGCACACATACATACAATTAATATACATACACATATAGACATATATGTGTATGCATGTATGTATTTTTATACATATATTGTCTCTCCCCTTAGAAGGTATGTTCAAGTCCTGCTCACTTTTTGCCTTTGAATTCCTGGGACACAGCATTGTTTTGAACATAGCAAATCCTTAATAAGTATTTGTTAAAAGCAAGTTAGCAAACGCTACAGAAAAAAATCATACTGTAGTTGGAAAGACTAAATGTGTGGTCCAAATGCAGTCATACATGGTAGCCCAGCAAACTGTATTCACATTTTCCCCTATTTAGGACTTTTGTTACTAATCCCCTCCAGCCATCCTTCTTATATTCAATACGCATTTATTAAAGACCAACCATGTGCAAATCCCAACTATTTACTATTTGTATCCCCAGTTGTTTTAACACAGTACATGGCACATAGCAGGGTTTAATAAATGCTTATGGAATGAGTACAGAATTCCAGTCCCTGCCTACAGACCAGCAGATGAAACTCCAAGTCAACCTAAAGCTAAGATTTATGATTTTCGTTGTTGTTGTTAACAAGTCTAGTAGGTGAGGAAGCCAATGCGATTTCTTTACAATCCTTGCTTTCTCTAGCTCTCTCATTTTCAGGAATGAGGCCTATACCTGGGAAACTGTCTCAGTGAAGGTGGAAAATGCATGGGTGACCACCCAGCAATTTCACTGGATTTTTACAAAGGTCACATTCTGTGGGTTAGACTGTCATTAATTTTCAACTAGGGCACAAATTCTTAACTTGGGATCCTCCATTAACTTGTGTTTTGTTTTTTAATATTCTGATAATTGTATTTTATTGGCTTTCTTTATAATCTTATGTAGTATAGCCATTTAAAATTAACTTTAATAAAAATTATTTTGGGAAGGTGTCCACAGGATTTACCAGAAAGGGTTCCATTCAGGACACAAAAATGTTTGATTTAGAGGAAGTTGGGGATTTCCTGAATTTTCCTTTCCTGTTAAACATATCCCTAAAATGACCCAATTGAGATACAGGATCATAGGCTTATGGTTGCAAGGACCCCAAAGGTCCTCAAGTCTAACCCCCTCATTTTACAGATGAAGAAACTGAACACAGTTTTGTGTCTGAGGCTGACTTTGAACTCAGGTTTTCCTGCCTCCAGGTCCAGCTCTATCCACTGTCTATACACTACAACCAGTGGGACCAGAAGCCCACAAGCACACACCGACCACGCCCTAAATTCTTGCCATTAGCTCTGCGCCAATGTCCCCCAGCACAGATCCTCGGTCTCCCCTTCCCTCCCAATTCCCCCTTCTTCAATTTATCTCCTTTCCCTTCTCTGGCCCCTGGCTCTGTCTCCCCCAGGTAGACGTTCCCACTCCAGTCATTCTATGGCATATGAAAGGGAGAAAATGAGGCAAGCTCGTGATGGCCACTTCCCAAAACCACAGAGGTCAACAGGCCCTTTACCAAAAGGGCCACACTGGGGTCAGCACCTCTCCCCACCCCACCCTGCCCACCCAGGCCTATTCCCTGCCTCCTTCATATACACCACTTCCGTTGGTGGCTCCACCTCCACTAACTGGTGGGTTCTGCCTAGCGACCCACCCTGGGGCTGAGGGTGGTGCTCGCAGGTTACAAACAGCTACAGTGTTGCTGAGTTCTTCTTCCAGGCCCAGGTGGAGATGCTTTCTTTCTCCAGTCCAGGTCTCGGTCTGTCTCGGCTCAGGCGCTGATGTAGGGTGCAGGGGGTAGAGAGCTGCCCTTGCAGTCAGGAAGACTGGGATTCAAGGTTTTCCCTCTGACACATTTGATATTGCACAAAGTCCTCAGCCTCACTCTCTCTTCAAGTCATCCAAGTCCAGTGGCAAGACAGAAGTCCAGAAGGTTGGCGATGGCATGGGATGCAGTGGATGACCTCGGCCTCTTAGATATCTGACCACGCTGTAAGTGCCTGCAGCTCCTGTGCCTTCCTGGCCTTGGAACAAATTGTTCTCTTGGAGGGCGGCTCGGGGCGGGGCGCGGAGGGGAAGGGAGGGAGGGCTACCTCTGACACAGATTTAGGCTGTGAGGCAGTGGACGCACTGCTTAATTTCTCACTGCTTTGAGCTCCAGTTGGGGATGGAAAGCTTTCTACCCAACCCTTCAAATAAAGACTCAAGACAGACCAGCCCTAGAAGAAAATCCAGGAGGGCTTTTAAAGCCCACCAAGGGAGGCTTTCTGCTGCTCCGAGGTCACCTGCTACTTTTCTGAGAGTTATAAAACATCTCGGGGCTTTAAACTGAAATAGCACTTTTACAGTTTTTCTCTCTTTTTAAAAGTTCAATTTTTTTATTTTTAGTTCCAGATTCCGTTCCCTCTTTCACATCTATTGAGAAGGCAACAAAATGAAAACTTGTTAGAAATATATGTACTCTTGCAAAAAAAAATCTCTTAATCATTCTTGTCCAAAAGGGGAAAAAAGAAAAAATGGGAAGAAAATATGTATTGTTTGTGAGAACAAACCCCAAAATCTCAAATAGTTTTAGAAAGAAATTTATTAGGTCTTTCGGTAGAGGATAGTGAGCTGAAAAGGAGATGTGGCTCCCTCTCCTCCAGGCTCTGGAAGGTTTAGAATATATAGGATTTAGACTGGGGTGACAGACAATGTGGTGTCTGAGACCTTGATTTGGTATGTGATTGGTCCTTTTCAATGTAGAAAGGTGAATAACAATAACATTCCCAGTAGCATTGTTGCCCTGACCAGGTGTTCCCTAGGTATGAGCCCAAGCTTCAGTAACATAACACTCTTCCCACTGATAGTGTGTGTGCATTTGTGAAGGGCTATGCCCCTAGTTGATAAGGGAAATGTTTCATTGTATCTCTGCTTACTGATGTTACATTCTTAAATCTCTCTGCCTATGCATCCAAAAATGATTAAAGATTATTCTGTATAACCAAGTAAGGTTGCAGGAGGGCTAGGGGGAGGCTACATCCTTCCAAATCCAAGTCAGGAATTGGGGTGGTGGTAGAACAGCAACTCCGAAGATGAATTACCAGTTTTCCCTTTTTGTATAAGAAAAGACTTCTCCCTGACTGTGTTGGAAGTTCTCTTTCCTTTTTGGTGATTCAGCATGGTCATTGATGAAAAGGAAGATGTTATTTGCTGCTTCCACTTCCACATCAATTCTCTGACAACTTTTGGCTCAGTATTCAGCTGAAGTGGACTGGAACATTAAATAGTAACATTTCTGGATTTATTCAAGGTTGGCTAACAAGGGAACTAGGGAGGGTCTAATCCAGGGTTGGGGAACTTGTGGCCTCAGGCGACATGTGGTCCTCTAGCTCCTCAAGTACTGCTCTTTCAATCCAAACTTCAAAGAGCAAATCCCCTTAATAAAAGGATTTCTTCTGTAAAATTTGGGCTTAGTCAAAAGGCTGAATCCAAAGACCTGGAGGCCCTAGATTCTCCACCCCTGGTCTAATCTGTTATTTCAGTTGCTATGTGCTCACTTGGATGCTGATGGACATTTGATTTATGAAGTTATTAGTGGGAAAAGAGATGGACTTCTTACTCTCCTCCTAACTAGCTGCTATATCACCTTGAAGATATCTACATCCTGAGGCCCCAATTTGCTGATTGATGCCTGTATGCCTAGCAGATATAAAGTATACAAAGTAAAAATAAACCTTTGTTGTTCAGTCTGTCCCGTTTTCATCACTGTGATCTTTCCACCCAAACAAATCATTTAACATGTACTTCATTAGGAATAGGAAGGCCACTGAGAGTGCCAGAAGGCTTTCAATCAATTCTTCCATGATGAGACTGAGGAATTGATAAGTTCTGATTATGTGATATGATGTGTTAAAATAACATTCTTTAAGAAAGAGTGAGATCTGAAATACAAATGCATTAACATTATTCAGGTTTGATTTTTTTTTAAATTATGCTATAGTTTCATTTTTTTATATTCATAGGAAGATTTAAAAAGAATACAAGAAAATTCTATTTGATTCATGGAGTGATAAGGGAATCTTAGAACCAGACAGAACTCTAAAGACTGTCAAGTACAACATTCTCATTTTACAGATGAGGTAACTAGCAGCCCAAGAAAAGAACACAGGATGAATTAGTGTGAGAGCCAGTGTTAGAACCCAGAACTTCTGGCTCCCAAATCAAGGTCTAATACACCACATCGTCTTCAAAATTACCTCAAAATAGGGGCAGGTAGGTTGCTCAGTGGATAGAGCACTGGCCCTTGATTCAGAAGGACCTGAGTTCAAATCCAGCCTCAGACACATAATACTTACTAGCTGTGTGACCTTGGGCAAGTCACTTAACCCCATTGCCTAACCCCCTCCCAAAAAAAAATTACCTCAAAAGATAGAACAGTGAGTGAAAACTGGTATTACTTTGAAGAATTATGTGTAAAGGCTTGCATTTAGGTGCAACAAATCAACTCTAGAAGACAGTGTGAATGAAGTACATGTAGCTTGTCAAGAGTTCATAAGAAAAAATCTAAGCTTCCTTTCCCAGTTCCAGTTGATTGCCAGCTTGATAAGGCAATAGTGTGATGTGTCTTTTTATAATTTTTCAAAAGGCTAATATATCTTGACTGTGTTCATAGAAATATAGTGCTAAGTACCGGCAAACAACAATCCCATCATACAGTGCATTTGTTTTGCTTCACTATGCTTAGTTCTTACCAGGGTTGCTGAGTTGGTTTTTGTTTTTGTTTTTGTTTTTTTGTTTTTTTGTTTTTTTTGGGTTTTTTTTCAGTTGGGAGGAGGTCAAAGGGGAAGAATTCAAAGTTAATCATTAAAAGAAAAAGAAAAACTAAAGTGGTTCATTGAAGAATTTTTTTTTAAAAAGACACAGAAGAGAATAGAAAGAAGGCAGGGTAGAAAAATCAGAGGTAATCAGGACAGCTTTGAATGTATCAGATGAAGTTCATGTTTATAAAGAAAAGGAAGCTATACAGAATAACCATTCACAGTACCATGTATAACTCTTTTTTTTCCTGTTTTACTGTGTGTATGGAAATGCCCAAAGTATTTGGTGTTTGTCAAATTCACCAAAAAAAAAAGCTTTTTTAAAAATTTAAATGTCTTTAAGTAAAAAACACATTCACCCCTAAGGGGGTCCCCACTCACTGACCAGCACCCACTTGCTTTATAGGGCAACAGACAAAGAAGGCATATTGCCAGCAAGAGCCTCAGAATTTTACATTACTTCATCCCTATACCTACTGTGACTGCACAATAGAAACTGAACATGATCATGAGAAATCATATCTAATACCTGTAAAGTAGAGATTGTTATGGCTATGGATCCTGGGAAGAAAACTCTAAGAAAGAGTAACAAAAAATCCATCTTACACACACCAAAATTTACCTTACTTATACTTGTACAACTGTAAATTTTAAGATGCTATCTATATATTGAAAAATAGCAGGGGCAGAGCCAAGATGGCAGAGTGAAAGCAGTGACTCGCTTGAGCTCTCCCCCAAACCCCTCCAAATACCTGTAAAAAATGACCCTAAACAAATTCTAGAGCAGCAGAACCCACAAAAAGACAGAGTGAAACAAATTTCCAGCCCAAGACAACCTGGATGGTTGATGGCAAAGGTCTGTTGTGATGGGTTGAGAGAGGAGCACAGCTCAGTGTGGGCCACAGAGACAAAGACGAGCCTCAGTGAACCCGGAGCAGGCCTCAGGGGACTGAGTCATGGGGAGCTGTGGTGGTTTCTAGACTTCTCAACCCACAAATGCCAAAGACAGCTTAGAAGGTCAGTGAGAAAGGTCTGTCAGACCTGGGTGAGAGAGAAGCGTGGTCCTAGTGTAGCCTGAGGGCAGCAGCCACAACAGCAACAGTTGCTTCCAGAGCTCTTGGCCCACAGATGGTGGGGGCATCAAGTGGCTGATCAGAGGTGGACTGCAGGGATCTCTTTGCTGGCAGGCAGGATTCTCTTGCTTTGCCTATGCTTGGATCTAGGTCATAGGAGTCCCTGGGGCAAGGAGGAGCTCTAGTGTGGTGGAGTGGGAATCCTCCTCACAGTTCCAAGGCAGGAAAGAGTGCTTGTTGTCACTCACAGACCAGAGCAAAGGCCAGGAAAGGAGAAAACACCTGTCCTTTGATTATACCACCTTGGAAGAACTGAAAATTTACCGGTCCCTAGAAGTATCTCTGAAAACAGTTGCACAAAACCCTGGAAGTTTGGGACAGTACACTCTCCACACTGGAAGCACAGGCCTACCTTGATGAAAAGTTAAAAAGTTAAATAATTGACTGGGAACATGAGCAAATAGAGGCAAAAAACTCAGAACATAGAATCTTACTTTGATGACAAAGAAGACCAAAAAGTACAACCAGAAGACAACAAAGTCAAAGCTCCTACATCCAAAGCTCTAAGAACAATATGAGTTGATATCAGGACATGGAAGAGCTCAAAAAGGATTTTGAAAATCAGGTAAGAGAAGTAGAGGAAAAACTGGGCAGAGAAATGAGAGTGATGCAAGAAAATTATGAAAAACTAGTCAACAGCTTGCTAAAGGAGACACAAAAATTCTGAAGAAAATAACACTTTAAAAAATAGACTAACCCAAATGGCAAAGGAGGTCCAAAAAGCCAATGAAAAGAAGAATGCCTTAAAAGCTGAATTGGACAAATGGAAAAGGTGCTCCAGAAGTTCACTGGAGAAAATAATTCCTTAAAAATTAGAATGGAGCAAATAGAAGCTCATGACTCTAGGAGAAATCAAGAAATTCTAAAACAAAACCAAAAGAATGAAAAAATAGAAAACAATGTGAAATATCTCATTGGAAAAACAACTGACCTGGAAAATAGATCCAGGAGAGAGAATTTAAAAATTATTGGACTACCTGAAAGCCATCAGCAAAGAAAGAGCCTAGACATCATCTTTCAAGAAATTATCAAGGAAACTCCTCTGACATTCT